TTGAGTAATTTTTTTCTTTATCTGCAAGTCTTTTAAAACATTAAGTGATTCAGTACTCTGAAGATTCTATCTAGTAAGCAAGGTGGTTTATTGTGAAAATTGAGATATGTATTTTTAAGACTAATTTAAAATGTATATGTCTCTATAAACTTGTTACATTCTTTGGCAATATCCATCTTTTATTTAATGAATTATGCTGAATTTTGTGGGAGAGTTGCTGTGTCCAAAAACTAGAATTCCCTATTTTGTGTGTATAACATTCTAATTTCTCTTATCATTTATCGTCTTAGAGAAGTCTTCTGTAATGCTTATAGATATTCCTTAATAGGATTTTCCCCTTGCTATTTTAGCTATAAAGTATTTTAGTTTAACTATAGCGTATTTTAATGATTTGAATCTTTTGAGACTTTTAGTATCGAAATCCCATAGATTCTTTCAGTATATCTATTGTTTGGGGTTTTAAAAAATAATTTTGGAAACTTTCTTGAAATTATTAATAGAATATAGTATGTATAATTTTTGGGTTTTTTCCTATAGTTTCTGATGTCAGTAATTTAAAAAACTATATATTAATTTCTTTAATTTTTTACATTACCAGAATATTTTCCAGATAGTCTTCTCCTACCCCACCCCCTTTACAGAGCCATCTCATATAACAATTTTATTTTTTAAAGAGAAGGGGGGGAAATCTAGGAATTAAATTAACACATCAAAAAAGTCTGATAGTTTATATCAGTGTTTTCTTTCTTTCTCTTATTTCTATTGCTAGCATTTCCAGAACTGTCAAATAATAGTGGGGAGAATGGACATTTTTATGTAGTATTATCATTTTTATTTTATTGACTTAAGCATTTTCATGAGCAATTAATGTTTCTCCAATTAACTTAGATCACTGTTTCAACAAAGATTCTTATAGTTTAGATTCATGTAGTGCTTGGATGAATCTTAAATGAATCTTAAAGGATTACTCCCAGGAATTTTATAGTGTCTGTAGTTGTTTTGAATGGAGTTTCTTTTTTAACCTCTTCTGGGTTTTTAAAAAGAATTATAGAATGATATATGCAAATTCATTTCATATGCTGCAACTTTGCTGAGTTATTATTTCAATTAATTTCAGTAAACTCTCTAGGAGGACTCCTAGAGTACACCTAAATATACTACCATATCATTTGCAAAAGTGATATGGTTATCCCTTCCACATCAAGGTTTTGATATATCATAGGTTGGCATAAGAAATTAAATGGAAATTTTCTTTTTTTTCCCTTTTTTTAAATTTTATTAATTTATTTTGATTTGTCAGCAATCATTTCCATATGCTTTTGAGTTGAAAATTTTTCTTCCCTTTCCTCCCCACCACCCTCCCCCAGATGGCACACAATCTGATATAGGCTATACATTTACATTCCTATTAAACATATTTTCACATTAGTGGTGTTGTAAGTAAAAATTAGAACCAATAGGAGGAACCATCAGAAAATGGAAACATAACTCAACAGAAGAGAGAAAAAAAATAGCAATTCAACTTTCATAGTTCTTTCTTCGGATGTGGATAGCATTTTCCATCCCGAAGCCTCTGGAGATGTCTTAGATCCTTGTATTGCTGGGAAGGGTTAAGTTTATCAATATTAGTCATCACACAACGTGGCTGTTACTGTGTACAACGTTCTCTTGGTTCTGCTCATTTCACTCAGCATCAGACCATACAAGTCTTTCCAGGTTTTTCTGAAGCCAGCCTGTTCATCATTTCTTATAGCATAATAGTATTCCATTACATTCATATACCACAACTTGCTCAGCCATTCCCCAATTGATGGGCATCCTCTCAATTTCCAATTCTTTGCCACCACAAAAATAGCTGCTATGAATATTTTTGTACATGTGGGTCCTTTTCCCTAAATGGAAATTTTCTAGGAGTTTTGCAGAAGCTGCAGATGACACACAGAGACCTGCAGACAACATAAAAAAAGTTTAGGAACTTAGAAATGCATAAAATTTATGTATGGTATTGTATAATATCAATCCAAACTTTACAGTAAGGTGCTGTAAACACTCCATAAAATAAAAATAAAAAATTCAGACTTCTTCTCTGGTATAAAGTGAGGGCCAAAAACTTTTATGTGGATTTTTCAGATTGTGGAGGTGCCGCCCTGTTAACACCTCTGATGTGGGAGGGATGACTGTTGTTTCTTTTTTTTCTTTGCCTTTACTTATTCCCTCGATTTTTATTTCTTGTCTTATTGCTATGGCTATCATTTCTGTTATTATTCCTAAATGGGCATATCTTTGCTTTACCCTTGATTTTATTGGAAAGGCTTCTTCTAACTTTTTCTATTACTTATAAAGCTTGCTCTTGAATTTAGATAAATACTATTTAAATTCCACTTATTTCTGAGAGTGTCGAATTTTGTGAACATCCTTTTAAGCATCTATGGATAAAATCATTGTTTTTATTATTTATCTTATTACCATTGTTCACTATATTTATCATCTTATGTTGAAGTACTCTATTATTGGTATAAATCCAACCCGATCATAGTGTATAATTTTTCTAACATTTTGTTTTAGCTTGCTGATACTTTATTTAAAAATTTTACATCATTGTTTATTAGGAACTTGGTCTGTAGTTGTTTTTGCTTTGTCTTGTTCCTTAAATTTTTAAGTGTCTTTTGTCGGCTGGGATATTTCACATTGTTTCTTTTTCTGTCTATGTTTCTTTTGTTACTTTGAGTGTTTCAGTTGTATTGTAGCATTTTTTTTTTAAAGTTGTTCAGCAACTTATCCTTATTTTATATTTTGGTAGATTTTTATTAACTTGTGTAACTAAATTGTTTTTGTTTTGTTTTGAGATATATGAAAGGAGTTTGCGCCTTGTGTACTTCTAACTTTGCCTTCTTTAATAGAAAACTTTATAGTAAACATTTTTTCTTTTTCTTTTCTGTTCTTTAAAAATTCCTCTAGTGGTTCTTTTACCTGTTCAGTTGCATTTGTCATCATTTTCTTGTGTTGTTTCAGTTGCTATTTTTATTATTTCCGTTTATTTTTCTCTCTTTCACAGGCTCTCTCTCATATATATATATATATATATATATATATATATATATATATATATATACACATTTCCACTCATATTAGTTTTTTCATTGCCTTTTTGGGTAAATTTTAAACTTCTTGGAATATTTTCTAGTGACTTTATTGGAAACCATGTCCTTTGTATCCTATCACTTTGCCAGCTTCCCAAAGTTGAATTTACTTTTAATTAGTGGTAGGTTTATGTTTAAATGATTGGAGGTTGGTGACCTACTTGTTGTGTAATGGAGCTATCTCTCTTCCGGGATTTGTTCTTAACACTTACTGTATGCTTAACCATAGGCAGGTAATATAATCTCTCTGCTGCACAATTTGTAATATAAAATGAAGGTGTTTGGTCTGTGTTATTTCTATGGCCCTTCCTGTCCGATTTTCTCACTCTCCCGCATACACATTGCATATGCACACGTGTTCTCTCTCTCTCTCACACACATATACATGCACATTGCTCTCAAGAACACATCATTGCAAGGCAACTGGCTAGTTCATTTAGAACCTAGCATATAGTAGATGAAACAGATTTTTACTTGTATAAAGTCTCCATAGGGGATTGGACCTGTGACCCTTGGCTGCTTCTACTATTAGTCAAGACAATTCTAAATATGTAGCAACCTAAAAATTATTTATAAATATTCGGTGGAATAGATTCAGTTCTCCATATAGGAGATGACAAAAAACTTAATCAGAAAGCACCAAGACATAGTGCAGACTTCATCTTTTTCTTCTATGGGGAAGTCTGTTAAGCCTTTTAATCTCAGGTTTCCTCCTTGGATTTACCATTATGAACAAAAGCTTAGGTATGAATATAGCATCTATAGGGACTAACAAGTCTGAAGGCATGTGCAAGGGCTAACCTTTATTGTGTTTGGGGGTTGGAGGTATGTCCTCTCACCTCCTCCAGTCCCACTTGATCTTTATAATTTATTTGCATTTTTTAAAAAAAAATTTTGGAGTGCAGTTCTTTCCATTTGCATTGTTGTAGTTACTTGTGTGTATTGTTTTCTTGGCTTTGCTTACTTCACTGTACATCAGTTCATATAAATCTTTTCAGGCTTCATCACACATCTTTTTTTTTTTTTTTGCTTAGGCAGTGGGGTTAAGTGACTTGCCCAGGGTCACACAGCTAGCAAGTGTTATGTGTCTGAGGTCGGATTTGAACTCAGGTCCTCCTGAATCCAGAGCCAGTGTACTACGTAGCTGCTCTAGCACACACATCGTTTCTTACAGCACAGTAATATTCTATTGCGTTCATGTACCACAGTTTGATTAACGATTCCCTATTTGATGTACATCTACTTTGTTTGCAATTCTTAGCTGTCACAAAAAGTGCTGGCTGCTATGTATATGGGGACTTTGTTCTTATCTATGGCTTCCTCAGGATATGAGCTCAATAACGGAATCTGTGGTTCAAAGGGTATGGATATTTTAGTCACTTTATTTACACAGTTACAAATTACTTTCTAAAATGGTTTAAACTATCTCAGCTCTACCAACATTGTATTAATACGCCTATGCTTCCCCAACTCCTCTGATGTTAACTGTTGCCAATTTTTGGTCATTTTTGCCAATTTGTAGGGTGTGAGGTAAAATCTCAAGGTTATTTTGATAGGCATTTCTCTCATTAGTGATTTGCATTCTTTCATGTGGTTGTGAATGCTTTGCAGTTTTTTTGAGAACTGTTTCTTCATATCCTTTGACCATTGGCTAGAATAAGGTTTTAACTCATTGGAACAAATCAATTATAACCTGCTTTTAGTAGAGGAGAACATCAAAATCTTAGTTTTTATTTGGCTATAAACTATGAAACTTTCCTTTTTCTCATATGACATAGTATGCTAAGATCTGGCGCGCCCCCCCCCCCCCCGTTTCTTTTAATAAGCTGTCCTAAATAAATGTTTTTGTCTTTGGTTTAGGTGACAAACCACGGCCACCTTCATCAAGCCCTTCCAGCATTATTCGTCGAACTTCCTCGTTAGATACACTTGCTGCCCCTTATCTTGCAGGACACTGGCCTCGTGATAATCATGGGCAATCTGTTCCATGTATGAGGGACAAAGCTACACAGGTAAGCTTAATACATGCTTTTATTTTGAGAGCTTTTTCATTTTTTTGCTGAATGCTTTCTCATTACATTTTTGTTTAACTCTCTTCAGATTCTAATATAGGCTTACTTCTCCCATCTATTCTTGTTTATTATGAAGTAACTCTTAAATAATTTCATTCTAGGGAAGGAATGGCAGATCTTTTTAATTAATATATTAAATTTAAGCATTAGTTTTGTTTTTGGATTTCAGTTAAGGTTGTGAAAATGGGTCAGATATTAACAGTATTCTTAAAATTTATTATCTAAATATATAGGGAAAATATCACTTTCATTCTCAAAAAAACCCTTTATATTTGGAGATTCAAATATACAGAATTGATAAATTTGAGAACTAATTTTTCTAGAAGTAGAACCTTGAACATAAGGTTGTAAGCATATTGTGTATAAGGAGATGAGGACACCTATTGACAACATGTAGATTGTAGATGAGTACTCTATTGAATGTTATACCCTGGACACAAAAGGGAAAAGAAGTGTGGAATAAAGTTTTGGGAGGTAGAGTAAGGTCATAGTTTCACAGGTAAAGGAACATTAGACATAGGATAGTGTAGCCTTTGTTTATAGAAAATGGAGGCCTAGATAGGTATGGTGACATGCTTGAGGTCATCTAGTAGAGGTAGAACCAATGTTGGAGTCCTGAATTATCTTCTGTCTACTGTAAATAAGGATCCGGATCACAAAAATCCTTATAGTTGGAAAGAATCTCAGATGTGATCCAGGATAACCTTTGAATAGGAATTCCATCTACACTGTCAATAGTCACTAGTGATCTGTGTTGGCAGACCTTTAATGAAGGCAGTGGTGAGATTCACTACTTAAAGAGGCAGCCCACTCCACCTTCAGACAGTTATAGTTTTTTAAGGGTTTGGTTTTTTTTTTTGGTGAATCATACAGTTAGTGTTATGTGTTTGAAGCTAGATTTGAACTCATGTCTGTATTCACTGCGCCATCTAGTTGCCCCCTAGTTATAATTATTAATATCAAGTCTTTTCAATTCACCTTCCTGGACTTCTAACTCAACTTCTGACTTTCTGACTTTTTCACCTCATTTCTCCCCTTCTCTCCCTCAACAGAAATTATGCTTTTCAGTTCCCTGTTTTGTAGTCTTCCTCCATTAGAATGTAAGCTCCTTGAGAGCAGGAACTCCTTTTTTTTGGGGGGGGGTGGCGTTACTTCTATTCCTAGCGTTTAACGTACTGTGTGGCATATAACATAGTAAGTAAATATATAATCAGTGTTTGTGCACTGAAATCAGCTAATGCACTAAGTTTGGTCTACTGGAGCCAAGTAGAACAAACCTAATCCCTGTTCTTCAAGTTTGTGAAGAAAACTATCCTAAATTTTTTTTTTTATTCCCATGAAGCCAAATATCCCCATTTCTTACAGTGTGGCATGACCTGCAATTGGACTGTTGTGATATGAGGTTTTCAAAAGAGGAAATGTCAGCTGTCAACCATATGAAAGAGTGACCCAAATCACTAATAAGTGAAGCATAAGTTAGAACAACTTTGAGGTTTGAGCTCATACATAGCAAATGGGATGAGATAGTGTAAGACAGACACATTAATTCACTTAGGTTGAGCTGTGATAGAACAGGTCGCCTCTTTACGTCAGAAAAACTAAACTGTCATACCCTTTGACCTAGAGATTGCCCTACTGGACGTATATTAGTGGGTAAAGGCAGAAATAAATATTCCATAGTATCAATATATATGCACCATCACTTTCCATGGTAGTAAAAAATGAAAACAGAGTTGATGCCCCTTCTTTGAGGAATGGTTGAACAAATTGTGGTTTTGTTGACTTAATGGAATAGTGTGCTGTAAGAAATGATGACTATGAAAACTGAAAAGGAACATAAGACTTATAGGAAGTGTTGCAGAATAAAGCAAGCAGAAGTAGGACAATATATGCAATCGCTTTACCTAATGAAAATAGCATTAAAATAATTGAATTCATTTGCAAAGAGCATTCTTGATCCTGGTGAATAGATGACCACACATTTCCCCCTTCTTTAACAATACAGGGGTCTACAAGAGCAGAATGTTGGCTATGCTGTTAGACAAAATTTGTTTGGTTGTTTGATTTTTTTTTTAAACTTTTTCTGTGTTACAAGGGAGGCGTTCAATAGTGGGGAAATATTGGGACATGATTGTGGTGTAAAGAGCAGTACGTCTCAATAATACTGCTTTGGCTTTTCACCATTTTGTTTGCCCTCCTGGGAGTTTTCCAGTTTGTCTATGCCCTTCCAAAAATGGGATGCTCAGAAATGAACCTAGTAGTCTATGTATGGCCTGATCAGGTACTGTGAACTATTAATGTCTTCTTCATTTGGAACACTATTTCTCTCTTAATGTAGCTTAAGATGATGACATCTGAGTTATTTTAACTGCATTATTGTAATAATGACTCACTGAGGTTGTAGTCAACTGCAATTTTTTCCAATTGTACTGCTGTGTAGTAGCGTCATATACTTATAAAAGGGATTTTAAAAAATCTAAATGTAAGACTTGGCATTTATCTCTATTAAATTTCATATTCTTGCATTTAGATGAAACTTTGACCTTGTCAAGATCTTTTTGGCTCTTGACTTTACACAGTATGATGTTACTATAACTATCTTTCTTAGCTTCGTTATCTGCAAATTTGATAAGTCTTAATATTTTTGTCTTTATTCAAGTTATTAATAAAAATGTTCAGCTATCTAGTTTACCTCCTTATTTGACAGATGAGAGAGAACAGACCCAAAGAGATTAAATGACTTGGCCAAGGTCACACAGGCAGTAGACAACTGAGGCATAATTTGTACCAGGTCCTTTAGTTCCGTATCTGTGCTTTTTCAACTGTACTGTCCCATATTATCATTTCAGAATTTTTCAGAATACTATGAGAGACTTGAACAAATTCAGAAACCCAAGCAAATGGTATCCACAGCATTAACCTCATCTACTAGTCTAATGATCTTATCAGAAAATGAAATCAGGCTATTTATGTTATTTATTCTCATGTGGGCCCTCATTGCAGCAAGGGATAGAACATTGGACCTGTAATCAGGAAGACTTAAGTTCAGATCTGGCCTAAGACACTTAACTAGCTGCATGACCTTGAGCAAGTCACTTTATCTCTGTTTGCCTCCTGTTTCATCATCTGTAAAATGGGGAAAATACCTACCTCCCAAGGATTTTGTGAGGATCAAATGAGTAATACTTGTGTTTTGCAAACCTTGAAGTGCTTTATAAGTGCTAGCTATTATTACTACTTATTCTTCTGTAACTGATTATCTTACTCCTTACAGCAGCTATTCCCAACCTTCTCTACTCTCCTCAAGGCCCTCAACACTTCTCTTCTTCTCTTCAAATTTTACTAAAAAGAGAGAGAGGCCATTCACAGTGTGTGCTGCTTTCTCAGTCCTAATCCTTCTGGACCCCTCTGCTCTCCTCTTAGATGTACTCCTCTCTCTTTCGCTCTCTTTTGATTTTCAGTCACTTTGGCACTTGCTTCTCTTCTTACAAGTCTGAGTGCTTCTTAGTCCCTTTGCTAGATCTTCATTCATATTGTAACACTTCATTGTGTTTGTACCCCAAGGCTCTGTACTAGGATATTTTCCCTTCTCTCTTTTATACTCTTTGATGACCTCAATTCCCCTGCCTTTTAAATATTATCTCCATGCAGATGACTTCCATTTTGGTCTAGCCAGTCCCAGTCTCCCTGCTAAGCTCCAGTTGCATGGTTACAATAACTGCTTGGACATTTCAGACTGAATGTCCTATAGGTATCTAAAACTTCACATGTCCATTGTAAAACTCTATCTTTTCCTCTGCCTGACACCTCTTCTGAACTTCCCTATTTCTGTTGAATGAACCAACATCCTTTTAGTTATCCAGTTTTAGAAACTTGCCATTGCTTCCTTGTCCCATATCTAATCAGTCGACAACATTTGTCATTTTTACTTCAGTAGCATCTTTTGAATCTGTCCTCTTTTCTCTTCACGTAGCTACTAGCTTAATTCAGTAATACCTTGCCTGCCTCTTGTCTGGACCACTATAAGAGGCTCATTTTTATCTGCCTAAAGTCTCTCACCTTTTCAAAACATCCTTCACACAGTTGTCAGATTCATTTTCTAGAAGCATATGTCTGACCATGTCAGTCCTTAACAAACTTAGTAATAAACTCTAGGAGCTATCTCTTACTTTAGGGATCACACATAAATTCCCCTCTTTGTTATTAAACCTGGCCTCATTTCACCTTTGCAGGTTTCTTACATATTGACCAATTCTGTGCACTCTGTGGTCCAACCAGACTAACCTTCTTGCTTTTCTTTATGCATAACATTTGCACGGGCTATCTCCCATTCCTGGGAAACTTGGCCCAAATGCTGCTTTCTGCATGAAGCCTTTTCTGATTCTCCAGATACTGATGCCCACCCCTCCAGAATTACCTTGTGTGTGTATATATATAGATATGTATATTTGCTTCCCTAATAGACTATATTATCCTTGAGGGCAGGGACTATTTCATTTTTATATTTGTATCTACAGGGCCTACCTGTGGTGAGCCATAATAATAATAAGCACTTGTTGACCATTTCAAAGAGTAGGACGAAAGAATATGATTACGTGGTGAGGGATGATAGATGGACAGCCCAAGTGCTTTACTGAAGTCCTTGTGAGATCAGGAGAAAGCAAGGAAGTCCTTCTATAAATCGAGTGAATCTTCTCTGGAAAATATGGGAAAGAGTTGCACAGGATGAGTTATAATTTGCATTGTTGGAGGGGACATCCAAATGAATGCATTTGATGATTGAATAAAACATATAAAGTATTTTATATTTTTCAAATGTCTTTAGCGAAGGCAAGGAAATAAAAATGAGGTCTGAATTTTTCCTCCTTCCCAAGATTTTAGCTGAAACCTTAACTTAAGTAAATTTGATGCTTACCCTTTCCTATATAGCCTTGTTTGTA